AGTTTTGGGTGCATATAACATGTCCTGCCAGAAGCATAATCCTACAGTGCTTTTCACATGTTTCCAGAGGCAGAAAGTCTGGGACGCCAGTCCAACCCTCTGTATGGCTCTAAATGCTAAGTAGATAATGACTTTCACAATTCATGTCTGAGTGTTTGGCAATATTATGGAGGCACAATTATTTATGATAGCAACTATTCAGGTGTAGATTTATCAGACAAGCCCTTTGAGTTTAAATTCTAATTCTCTGTCTCTCACGGGTGTGAAGTTCTGCTGCGGGACCTGTGGACACTGAAGTCTGAGACTGTTCATGTGCATAACAGCAGGTGTCATTCTCCAGCAGTAAAGTCATGCTGCTACTCAGGTTGAAGATGATCTTTTGGAAGTGAAACAAAGAACCTTGAAACTTATTAGTTTTAAATGAGGATTTGTTATTTTTCATAGTTCCCTGGGTGGTCTAGGTGGTTCTTCTCCATGTGGTGTTGTCTGGAGTCACTCATGAGGCTGCACTGAGCTGGCAGATATGCTGAGACCAAGAAGTTTTCTAATATAACTGGGGTTTTGGTGCTGACTGCATTTATCTCCATCAGGGCCTTTCTCTACAGGATCTCCTCTCCCAGGGCCACGTGGCTTCTCTCCGTAGAAGGAAAGCCTGATTTTCCTTACTGCCTGGCAGCTGCGTTCCAAGCAGGTGAAAGAAAATGCTGCAGGCTTCTAAAGAGTTGGGACTGGAGCTGGCACAGTTATCATTTCTGCCATCTTCTATTGGGAGAGAACCACACAAGGGCTTGCATACCAGCAGGCATAGTTCATCAGGTGACACCAATATAGCTGTCTACCACGTTTGATCAGCCTGGTGAAGCAAAGAGAAGGAAGCAGGAGGATCGTCACACAATATTTGCATCAACTCTTCTCTCTGTAGAATGTTTTTCCCACCCTCTGCCTAACTCCTAAATACAGGTCTCATTCAGCCTAAATGTTACTTTTTCAGGAAGTCCTCCCTTTTCCTTCTACCCAGACAAAAGACCTTAGAACATGTACTTTGGGGCATATTTTCATAGTGACCTGTACTTTCATTCATGGTACTTATCGGTTTGATATGCAGTGCTTGTATGGTTGCTTCTTGAATGACAGTCTCCCTGCTTAGACTATAGGCTGTGGAGGAGTAAGGTCTATACTTGCTTTGTTCACTACTGTACCTCCAGCACCTTGTGCAGCTCCTGGCATCTTTCTTGAAAGAATGAATGGATGAACTACATCAGTGGTTTTCTAAGTGTGTTCTGATGCTTAAGTGCCATGGTAGGGGACTGAGGGAGAGGTCAGTGCATGTCCATTTCCAGGTCATTTTTATTTAGGTTAAATATTTGATTCTAGCATAAGAGTGTAAAAGGAAAGCCAGTGCTTCAGAAAATATTGTACAATCCCCTGAATTAGATGATCTTGAAGTCTCCTCCATTTTCACTATTCTATGATCCTAAACAAAAATAACAAAGCTCATATAGGCATATATCATAATTAGAGAGTGGCCTTCACCAGTGAGATAGCTCTTTTTCCAAGAGCAAGGGAGCTCCTTTCTCCTTTTCTTAATTACAGACCTGAGGGGTTTTTATCCCTTTCTACTCGGCTAGGATCTACCCCCAGGCAGAGAGTTTTCTCTCCATGGCTACCTTCTTTAGCATCAATGAAATGGTCCTCTCCTTTCACCCTTTAGTACTTGCTCCAAAGAACCTAGAGTGCAGCCACTTGGGGCTACTTGTAGTTCCCCTCTCACATTCTCACATATTCTCATTCATGTGGTTCCCTCAGCTGAGAATGGTCTTTTTTCTGTGCTTTGCAAAGTCCTGTTGTGACCCAAATGTGAACCCTTGCTAAAAACCTTTCCCAAGGCCTCCTCTGTTCCCACGATACTTTACTGATATCTCCATATAGAACGTTCTGCAGCTCAAACTTGGGCAAGTTACTTAATCTATGCCTATTTTCACATTTAAAAAAAATCGTCAATAGTGTTAAACATGCTGAGTTTTCCAGAAAGTAGACTCTTACATGATTAGTGTGCATATTTATTAGGGGATGCTCTTAGGATCATCACTTGTGAGAGGGATGGGAAGAACTGGGCAGAGGGAGAAGTCGAGCTGCGATGCAGTCTTGATGGGATGCAGGTCGTTCTGGAAGTGCGACGATCCATTAGAATTGTCTCAAGTTTAGGTGAAAGGGCTGGGCCTTCCAACAATTTTGAGAGAGGTATTGGTGCTGTGTTGATGTCACTGAATTTGCCTCCTTGAGAAGGGGTGTGACATTGGGCAATGCCAGAAGCAGAAGGCAGGTGACAGCTGATGGCTCTGGCTCTCTGGGAGCAATACTCTTGGCCACTCGGGTAGTAAGTCCCTCATTCCTGAAGGCGATCTGAGAAGTACGTTTCAATGCCTACCACTAACAGTTATCTATCTCAGGATTATTGGAAGCCTAAAATAGTGCACGGTATTAAAAAATACATAGCATACTGCCTGGAACATAGGACTCAAGAAGAGATCATTGTTATGGTAAGTGTAAGCAAAACTTGTCTCTATCAGCATAGCGAGCAAAGTAAGGGAACCTTGTTTTGTTTATTTTTTGTCTCTAGTCCTAGCATAGGGCCTGGAACTAATCAGATTCAATAAAGGCTTGTTGATGTGTTAATATAAAAATATACCTGCCACCCTTAGTCTCCAACAGAAGTTATTTTGAGTTGAACTCTGAACTAAAACAAATAGAAAATGCCACTGCAACCATTTAATAACTTTTATTAGCAAAATAACAGGAGGCACACATCCACTTGCCTGAAAAAAAGTTCCAAAGACAGTTGTAAAACGAAAGCAACGAAGCAGTACTGGACGACTGCAGAACTTCAGTTAAAAATGGCTTCTTGAGGGGAGGGTATAGCTCAGTTGGTAGAGTGCATGCTAAGCATGCATGAAGTCTTGGGTTCAATCCCCAGTACTTCCTCTAGGAATAAATAAATAAACCTAATTACCTCCCCCAGCCAAAAAAAGAAAAAAAAGGAAAGAAAAAACAACAAAAAACAAACCGGCTTCTACAACTGGGTTTGATATTTTTGGAATAGAATCTTTGAATTGTAGATATGGAAGGAGATTTAGCTCGGCTTTTCCAAAGCTCTTTAACAGTGACGTTGTCAATGGAACTATCAACCCAGAGTAAGTACTTAACCTCCATGAGTACGTGTTGCACCTTTATTTTCCTGCATGTTCAACATAGTTCATTGATATGATTTAACAGAGGATCTATTAAACAGTCCTTTGTGCCAGACAGGTCTGTGGACACAGCAAGGGGCAAAAGTTACAAAGTTCCTGTCTTTAAGGATCCCACATTCTTGGTGGCAGGGGACAAACAAGGTCTGGAAATGGTAACTGTCATGAAGAACTGTGAGCAAGTAACGATACAGTAAGAGCGTTGGTGCAAAAGTACTCTTTTAGATAGAATGGTCTGGGAAGCCTCAGATGTTGACCTTTGGGAAGGGACCTGAAATACGCGTTGAACATCCACGACTTAAATCTGGAGGAAGTGTTCTAGCCAGAGGGAACAGCAAGCGCAAAGTCCTGAAGCAGACTGAGCGTGCGTGTTGTAGGACAACCGGAAAGCAAGAGGTGAGCGAGGGGGCTAAGTGATTGGAGATGAAGTAGGCAGGAGCATATACAATACACACACTCATACTTTTCTACCTTAGACCACACTGCTAAGGAAGACAGGGTGTACAATCCCTCAAGGGGCACAATGGGATGAGGATTTCCAACAGCGGAGGTACAGGGACGCTTTTCCTCCGTGGGTAGGGCCCAGTTATACTGGGCAGGGGATGGACTGCGTCCTGCTCTCAGAAGTCCAACCCTTGCCCAGGGGCGGGAGCGGACTGCGGGGGCGGACCTCGGCAGCCCCCGGCGCGCCGGCGCTGCATCGGCCGCGGTTACCAGCAGGCGGTGTCGTGAGCGCGCCTG